TTGTTATACAATACTAAAAATAGAATGCACATGAACTCATTTTTGACCCTTATTACTCCATAAAGGGATTTGAAGCCGCGATTCAAGATAAGAGCCGTGCAGAGCGCTCAATTAGAGATGTGCTACCTCGTAATAAACATGACTCGAGTTGAAATTCAGGTAACTCGAGTTGACTCGAGTTACCTGGAATAAAAATATTTTTTTTATTATTTCGAACAAATCTAATGTTTTTGGGTGCAGCTAGCCTTGAAAGCTTTACCGAACTAAAGGAGGCCAGTAGAAATGGCACTTTAAATCCGCAGAAGAACTTATAGAACGCATAATCATTTTAATGATAACATAATCGGACGAATATGCGAAAAACAATGAGAACAACCTCAAATCAATACTGAAATATTTGTGACGAGTGAAAATTGTATGATATGAAAACAGAAAATTTCATGTCATTGTCGGTTGGATGACAGAATCACGTTCTCGCTCTTTTACTTGATTCATTCATTTACAAGTTGAATTCATCCAACTCGAGTTGCCAGAATTCAACTCGAGTTAACTCGAGTTGACACATCTGTACGCTCACTGGCACAAGATCACGGTGCCCCAAAAATAATGAATATGACATCATCGCGTAACAGTTGACTCTTTCTAACTAGACGCGGCGCAAGTCATCAGCTGAATATGCAGTAATATTAAAAATGGACGTGCCATTCGATGATAAGAAAATAATAATAATCTTGTCCCAAGCTAAGCAGATCTTGAGATATTTATTTATACTATGGTGGCAAAAAAGCATACGCGATATTTATTTATACTATGGTGGCAAAGCAAGCATACGGCCTGATGGTTACCGTAGCCTATGCACGCCTGGAACATCAGGGGTGACACGCGCGCGTTGCCGACTCTTCAGAAACCTTAATACACCATTCTTGAAAAACCCCATGCTATAGTCTCGTGAGAAAACCTCGGCGATATTCAAAAAGGCATACCATCAGAGTCTAAGAAAATAATAATAATGATCCAGTACAATGCACACAGCGCCATCTAGTCCCAAGCTCAGAAGAGCTTGTGTTACCCATAACACAAGTTCTGTTTAGCTTGGGACTATAATGTATTTATTATTATTTTAATATATGTTTAATGTATAATTTTAATCTCTATAGATAAAGTGCAGAATGCCAATATTTTATTAAAATTACATCTCTATATAAACTGAAAGTGAATGAAATTTTAAACTCCTATATTCTCGCAATTTTCGTAAAAAGAGGTTTTACTCATCATATATTATCAAATTGCATCAAAATATTGCAAAAGTCTTTATTCATGTAGCTCGAGCTACATACTATACATAGCTCTATTACATCGACAGCCTCGGTGGTCTAGTGATTTAGCACACCGCTTTACTATTTGATTCTATTTGATTTTGGGTTCGATTTCTCGCACGGTACAAACATTTGTATTCATGAGTATGATTGTTTGTATAGGTCTGGGTGTTTTCTATGTATATTATGTATTTATTTACAAAAAAATGTTTCCTGTATTTATATCAGTTGTCTAGTACCCATAACACAAGCTCTGCTTAGCTTGGGACTAGATGGCGCTGTGTGAATTGTCCTGAAATATTATTATTACACTCTTATGCCATGTCAAAATCTACCGTCAGTTGGCAGTGCACCACCCCACCACCAGCATATGCTATTGCAACTTTGTCAAACGGAAATAGTCTATCTAAATAGTGGCCATAACCAAAACAGACCAGTCCCAAGCAGCACCCGTTCACAAGTATAACGGATATATTAATATACTAGCTTTATTCGCGACGTCGTCCGCGTGGAATTGTAACTTTATTATTCTAAAATATAAGATTTTTAAGTTAAAAGTATCCTAAGTTACTCCTTATTACATCAGCTACCTACCAATAAGTTCTGTCAAAATCGGTCCACCCATTTCAGAGATTTGCCGGAACAAACAGACAGACAGACACTGAGAGCAGTTAAAGAGTGGAACTCTCTACCAGCGTCTATTTTTCCTGCTTCTTACAACATTGGGTCTTTCAAGTCAAAGTGTGAATAGGCATTATTTGAGCTTGCGTGTAACAGCTTAGACTATATAATAACAGCTAAAAAAAATGTTATTTTGGTGTACGTACTGTATTTATATTCATATGCATCTAGTAAAAAACGATTCTTTCAATATTACAAACAGACATTCCATTTTATTTATATGTATAGATAAAATTCGCGTAGGTTCAATTTTACTGAACCCGCCTATCCCTTGTACCACAGTCGAAGAGCACGTCAGCTGATTCGTACGAACAGTCGCCTGCTTCAAATAGGACAATGTTTAGTTATGTACATTACGTTACAATTGCTTCATAGCATGCGCATAATATGTCATTTTAAAAGAAATGGAGAGAACATAGTACTACATTAGTTTTCATTTGCAAGTCAGGTCTATACGTTAACATAATGATGCACGTCTGAGAGGATCGTTTTAGAAATATAAAAATGTCAAACAATATGAGAGATGATGTAATAACCCTATTACTCATAGTACTTGCTAGCTCACTACTGTATCTTCTTTCGTTTCAACGGCAACTAAATACATATATTTAAATATATTTTCCCCAGAACGCCGCGAGGACCCTTGCGCATTCCGTCGTATTATGTAGGTCTTCCTTTGTGTAGGGCACAAAGGACAAGTCAATAAGTGTGTTATGGTCTGGGATGGCGCTCCGCAGTCATAAGCCTCCCTTGAAGCGGCACCCCACTTAACCGAGTTGTACCTGCAGCGGCATATCTGTGTGTATGTGAACTTAGAATTGATTTTTTTTCTAATTTCTATGTAATTTAGGGACTTTAAAAACTAAAAGTAGATGGCAGTTTCACTGTACCCTAAAACTTATAAACTACATCACTTCACCAGCAAGCAAATTGCTTTGTATGGCGCCCACATCAGAATAGAGAATATCTACCGCTGATTCGGAAATCACAAGAACGAGCAACTTGCGTATTGCTCTTTCAAATAATTGTTGTAGTAGTTGTATATCTGTTTAATGTTTATATTTATTTATGTTATTTCATTTTTTCTTTTATTACATATAAAAGAAAGAAAAAATGGGTTTGTATTTTTAGTGCTAATTTTATTTTAATTATTATCATTAATATTTTAAATAGTGCCATCTCTCTCCCCTTTTTTATATATATTTATTTTTCTCGTTTTGGTGCCACTGAAAACCAGCTGTATGTTCACATAGGATATACAATAAAGCTGAGTGGAGCCATTTCTGTGCTTGTGGAAGGAAAAAAATGATTCTTTTATGTTTATTTAAATGTAGATAACATGTCAAATTATGTTCAATTATACGTATAATTAGTAAAAATCACGGGATCTTACCATGTTTTATATGTAAACTGATCACGGTTTACCCGTGATCATGGCGGTTGAAACACTGCCGAAATATCGGGAACTCAATAAATATAAAACGTGGTAAGATCTCGTGATTTTTACTAATTATACATATAAATACTGACCGCGTCACATTTAAACAGTATATAAGTTTAATTATATAGAGATTTTATTTACTTTTTTGTTTGATTTTTTATATATTGTAACATTGTTGAAAAGCACTGTATAAATATTTTTTCTTTCTTTCTTGTACCTTTACATTTTTAAGTTGAAATGTGTGAATAAAAACTAGCAATTACCTAATTATTTTTAATAATTATGTTATCACATTGGATATGGAAATGTTTTTTGTTAATACAAATTAAAAATAATGAAATTAACATTATACCATGCTCACACAAGTTGTTAGATCTGGCGAAGCTGATAAGCCGCTTTATGAGTTAGAAATATTAGACGAATTCACAATAGCTGACGAAGATTTTTTTTATACAATTATGGTGACAATTAAGCATACGGCCTATCTGATGGTAAACTGTTACCGTAGCCTATCGACGCCTGTAACACCAGGGGTGTACCGTCCATGTTACCGACCCTTAAGAAACCTTAATATACTCTTGAAAAAACCCGTGCTGTAGTGTCGTAAGAAAACCTTGGTAAAGTTCATTCCACACTGTAAGTGTACGCGGGAGGAAACCGTACTGGCGAATAAAAAAATTGAAGATTAAAAATATATAGAACTGCGTTCAAAACAGTCTTTGTGTCAATAACTGACATATGTAAAGTCAGGTTTAATATAAATTAGAAAATATTTGATGTAAAATAAAAGAAAATGATTTAGAAAGAACAAGAATAAAATGGATAACGAAGTACCAACATATTAGATAGCCTTGTTCCATAAGTCTTTCAAAAACACGAATGAATTAGAAAAATGAGTAAAAATTCTGAGCAAAATATGATATTTGTATGTTCTTAATTCATAAATATAAATTATAAATTTAGTTTTTTGTATGTCATTTTAATGGTACAATAAAGTTTTATAAAGAAATATTGTTGTAACGTTAGTAACCTTTATTATTTCAATAAAGTTATCCGGCTCCGCATGGACTAAAAAATTATATGAAAAAGATACGTGTTTTATTTTTTAAATGTAATATGAATTTAACAGACTGCAAAGGTTTTTTTTTTAGTAGACGATATATTAGTCTAATTTAATGCGCTTACTTCACAAGTTATTATGAACTGACCAACCCTGCTTGGTTCTTTTGCATGTTTGTCCATTATCCATAGCACTCGTAACTTTAAGAAAATTTAAATACTTATATTAAAGCTATCAATAATATTCTTACAAGTCTATTAAGATTGTATACTGTAAAAAATCGAGGATTTGATTTAAATGCAAGTACATTTCTTTATATCAGGCAAACCTTAATTTTAAAAATGTCTCTTTAAATAATTTATATTCTAACATAGTACGCCTTTAAAACAAAAGTCCGTCAGATATGAATACCTTTTGAATACGAAGATCAGCGTCAGTATTAGAAGCCATGTGCCATATCGCAGAAGCCTCACACCATCACTCTACCACTCAGTCAACTGACCTTGATATCCAACTCAAAGTAGACCGATAGGGGGGAGGATCGTACCCTGACGTGGGGGGGCAGCGGCACGGGGGCCCTCGCTGGAGGCGGCGGCGTTCCCGCGGGGATCGCTCGGCCTCTCTCGCGGAGGGCAGGATGCGGACCAGCGCCTCGGATGGGTGATCGCTCTTGCTTTAGTGCTGTAAAAGTATACATTGTAAATATAACTTTATTATAACGTATTAAGGTAGTGTCTCAATGCTTACGTGCGGTTCGATACATTCTTACTTTGATGGAAAGTAAAGTATGTACATATAAAGAACCATAGATATCACAATATTCGTTATGGATCCTGTGGAACCTGTGGAATGATATGCCTGCGTACTCTGTAATGTTACTGCCATACCTCACCCATAACCAGGAACAGAGTTGGCTAAACAAACTGCTAAGCGACTATAATATAAGATTGAGTCTAGACTGAGGTATTCATGCAAACGACTTTATAAATGGTACTACTTAAGTAACTCCAACAGGGCGGTCCACACCGGCGCCTCCGGTCGCCCCTCCGATCGATTCCCCGTTCAAATCAAACGGGGATCGAAATTACAACGGCCTGTGCTGAGATTCGAACTCCTAGTCTCAAACTAAATTTGTATCCGGCAAGATCAGGCAATCATAGCCCGAAGAATTGCGACTCTGAAGTGGTAATGGGCAGGGCACATAGCTCGTAGGACAGATGGCCGTTGGGGTAAAGTCCTCGAGTGGCGACCACGGACCGGAAGACGCAGCGTGGGCCTTCCAGCAAGGTGGACCGACGATCTGGTCAAGATCGCTGGAAGGCATTGGATGCGAGCAGCGCAGGACCGATAGTCGTGGAGATCTTTGGGGTAGGCCTATGTCTAGCAGTGGACGTCTTCCGGGCTGCGATGAAGATCAGGCAATTGACGGCCTGGGCCGAGGTTAGGTGCCCTCAGACTAAAGTCGTATCCGTCAGGCGGGAGTTGGCCTTCAGCCGCTCCATAAGTCCTTCCGCGGGTTTGGAGTGTCATCTGCACTCGCCCTCTATCGTCCGGTGAAGCTGTATATGCCAGCTGCGGCTAATAACATTAGAATAGTTCGTAAATATAAAAAAATAATAACTTCACTACTACTTTTAATATTAATAACCAAACGTATGCATTGAGACGCTACCTTAAACACTTAGTTCCATGAAGATTATTTCAATAGCAAACCATGCAATTTTTATTAATAACATGTGACATAATTAACATTAAATTAATTAATAATTATGGGGGGAAGGGGATTGTTAGTAATGAGGACTCATGACCCCATTACTAGCAATGTACCATGAACCTCCACGCGGTTCCCCCTGGAAACCATCGTAATAAATTCATGGTGAATTTGTCACGATGAGCTAACTGACCTGACCTCATGTTCATCTTATCATCCTCCACTGGTGACAGCGTAAACCGTTAGCGCAGGCGGGTGCATCATTCCATTATCATGCATAAAAAATACGGTATCTGTTATATCTTCCTATATATTCATCTATATAATCAACATGGAAGATTGCAGCATGACAGATAAATAAAAAAAAATCTTAAGTTTTTTTTTATTAATTATTATTATTATCCTGTATGTGAATTCCTAAGATTTTTTGTTTTATTGCATGGTATTGTTTATTTTTGTTGAAAGGTACACATTCCATTATCAACCATAAAAAAAAATTATTAATACTTTCAAAAACACATCAATCAACACTTATTAAATAGGTGTTAATAAAAATTTGTGCTAAATAATATAAAACAAATTAGTTATACACGTTTCTTTTAACTCTCAACAAAATAACATACTTCATGCGTTTCACTGTAATTTAAATATATACACGTCATGGAAAAATTAAAACACTTTTTGAAAGAGAGATAAGACCTTCTTGATGGAGATATTCAGTGGATTATATACAACAGCAAATATAACTTATTCTCGATCTGATACAGTTTACATACACGTTTACACGTTACATATCAACTGTTATTTAGCACCATGATTACTTATTTTATACCCAATTTACAGTGATGAGAGAGTGTAAACACGAGTGGAAACACTTCCCATGCCATTGACGCTGCCACTCGCGCTGCCCGGCGCTCACTCAATTGTCGGTTGTTCGTGCGCGAGTCAAAGGACTGGCAGCGCGAGTGGCTGCGTGTTCTTACATTCAGCTCTCTCGCTCAGTAGTCGCAGTGTTTCCGGCAGCGCGAGTGGCAGGGGAAGCGGCTGAATGTAAACGTAGCATTGAATGTGATGGATTAGATTTTTTTAAAATCAATGTGCTTAATATTTCTTAGCATTCTATGGTTTGACCGTGCGAGTGTTTAGGTCCATTGCGTGTCAGAGAGGGAAACTCCGTGCAGTTACCAGGAATTGTGACCCGGGTGTAGGTTTAAGGGAGCACCTTACCGACGTATGTTGATGTAAGGGGCTCCCTTAAACTACTCACCTTCAACCCTCGATTTTTCTCTAAAATTTTCATGTTCAATCTAGACACGCGGCAGCGTGTCAAGCCGAGTTTCAAGTAAACTGGCCTGCAGCACCGTGTGTATATTTACACGAACCATTTGGAGCCACTTTTGACCCCCTCATAACTCAAAAACTCTATCACACAAACCTGTCAAATTTGGTTCATATATTGAGACCTGCGAGATAAATATGTGTTCCAAATTTCATAAACATATCTCAAACGGTTATTTAGATATTAATGTCCAAAAATCGTCATTTTTATCACTGATCAACTATAGATCAAAATTATAACCCACTTCCAGATGACCTAGGAAGTTCAAATTTGGCATGCAGATAGGTAATTAGGTGAATATAAAGGAAAAAATCTGAAACTGGTAAATTGTTATCATTTTACTACAATTTTTCACTTTAATTGATTATATTTCAACTTATACTGGACGAATACTAAAATTCTATGAAAACGTCGATAGCCACCAATTGACATTGATCCCTGGCGAAAAATCTCATCTTGTACTGGACTGAAACTAATATTGTATGAAAACGTCGATCATTACCAATTTACGTTGACCCCTTCACATCAGTGTCGATAACTAGCAAACTTCAAATATTGCATTGAGCGGTAAACACTAGTTGCTATAATTTAGATTCTGTCTAAAATATACTCGTACTTATAACTAGGAGTATAGTCGAATTTCGTATTTATTATGTTATTAACTGAGATTTGGTATTAATTATAATTTCAATATTTAGCGCACATGGATAGTGTAAAATCATTATTTTTATAAATAATTATTAAATAATAGACATTTCGGTATAGGGCGCCGCGGCGACGTGTGGGAGCGGTGCGATAAAACGTTGACGCGAACCTGTCCGAGCGAATGGCAGCCGCCCTCATATGTCTCAATGTTTTGTTTCTCGATATCTAACCTATAAGGTTGCGATTTATGCTACGAAATTTATAGCTTTCTTAAATTATACTTATATATTTGTGGTTATATTATTATTACATTATTTTAGTAAATACGTATGGTATAGACAATAGTTTAAACCAAAAATTAATAACAATTTTAGTATAGTTATAAGTAGGAATGTATAGTTAACTCGAGAATGAGAACTCATTGGTAACAAATTGTTTTCTTGAGAATTCAATATATAACAGTCAATTTGTTACATAATCGTCTTTACGAACTATAACGTGTCAATACGAAGTTTCAGATATTAAATAATGTATATGTTGAAAGAGAACAATTCCGTATTTGCTTAACATATGCTATTACTATCCACAAATCACAAGGCCTTAGTTTTGGCAGTCCTCTTCTTAACATAGGCTCCTCCATATTTAATAAAGGGCAGGTTTACGTTGGACTCTCCAGAGTTAAAACCTTAGATGGGGTACGTCTTAACAATTTAGATCCAAGTCACGAGAGCTCTATTGTAGAGTACAACCATCTGTGGACGTTATACCGCCCCGATTTGCCCAAAAATTCCTGATACTGAATTAGCTTTGGACTTCAACATTTGAAAGTTACAAGAAAATATAGAAAATAACACAAAAAAAAGACAATTATACCCCGTAAATATACGAAAATACAGTAATTTATCAAAAATAATTTGGTATTAATTTAGTTATAAATATGTACCTAGTATAATTTATGTACAAAAAGTAATGATATCCCATCAAAAACATAAATGTGAAATGATAGCCGAGTTTAATATTATGATATATGCCTTGATTGTTGACTTCTACGACAAAAGAGATGAGATCTAAATGGGTGCCAAGTTCAATGGTCTGTCCTGAAATGTATTTATAACAATATAAAATATCATTTCTTCTTATAACTTAGGATAATATACTGTAGCCTAAGGTCTAACTTGGCTAGTTTTCATATACGAAATATACTGTAGCCTTCGCAAGTTCTAAACATGTTACTTGTAGGTTCCTATTTTAATATTAATAGTAACTAGCAATCGAAAGTAATAATTGGTATATGAGAACTGGCCAAGTTAGACCTTAGGCTACAGTATATTATCCTAAGTTATAAGAAGAAATGATATTTTATATTGTTATAAATACATTTCAGGACAGACCATTGAACTTGGCACCCATTTAGATCTCATCTCTTTTGTCGTAGAAGTCAACAATCAAGGCATATATCATAATATTAAACTCGGCTATCATTTCACATTTATGTTTTTGATGGGATATACATTACTCATATTGTTTCAAAAGATTTACAGAATTCCAATTCAAAAGGTAGATTTACCACAGCTTAAAAAAAAGTTATCGAAGTTTGGAATGCTGGAGTGGCAACCACTAAACGGTCACCCATCCATGAAATGGCGTATCCTAATATTGCTTAACCTCATTGATTACCGAGTGACGAATGCAAGTGAGCCGCATGCGCTACGGTAATGACATATGATGTCAAAAAAGAAAGTTATTTACATACAATGAGTGTGCAAATACGAGACCAAGCCTCGAACTCGTTTACCGAAGGCGTGATCTTGTAGTCTAGTCGGTTTCACTGGTCTGTACGATATCTATATCTAACAGAATTATGTATACACACATATATAATCTCACTACTCACTAATCCGAGTCGGGGTAGCTAAAAAGTTTGTTTTATAAATACAAAACTACCCATACAAATATTATAAATGTGAAAGTCTGTCTGTCTTTTGC